CATGGGAATAATCTCATGCTTAGTAGAGTGCCCCAGAACTCTCTTTTCAGCCTAGTACAACATCACGAATTCCTATAAATTGCGTTTTTTCTAAGGGGTTGAAATACGGTATGCAAAACGAAAAGTTCTGTTTTCTCAACGCTGTATAGGATTTGATTACTATAAGCCTGTATTTTCCAGTTCTAATTTTTTTACATGAAAAATGGAACATTAATTGCTGTAGGCAGAAATATTTAACTTACTTTTAATGTTAACTCTCAAGGCAATGGAGAAAACTTTTCACTTTTGGAATCAATTACAACTTTCACTTACTAAGGGCACAGATTGAACGAAATGTGTATGTCTATGCAAATAAATGTTGGACTCCGTATCACATCGTTAATTCCCCTTATGGATGACCCGTTGTTAACAAATGAAATACGATTTGTAGCTTTTATTCCTCTTATTTTAGGCTAGATGCATCTATCTTCAGTCCTGTCAGGTTACACTTCGTATCCTGCGTGATATCTGGGCAAGGATTGGGTCATGGAGACCGCTGATTGACTGGGTATCCTTTCAATCTTATTGTTGTGCTTTGGGCAAACGGTATCGCTGCTTTCTATACGTTTGTACTGAATTCATCAGATGTGTAAGCTTCTCGTTTTGAAATTTCCATCGTCCTGCTTGGCGTCGTTGTCTGTCGGGGATGTTCTTCGTCGCGTTTTTAAAGCTGTTACTTTCGGTGTACTTTTGAAGAGTTTGTTTCTTCTCTTGTTTCCCAGGCTTAACTTATGTTTAATTTATTACTTCTTCTCTTCATCTCATTTATTTGTCTTCTATTCTGCTTTCTTTCTTTCTTATGTTGCACTTCCATCCATTTTAGAAAAGGGCTACTAAACTTGTGATATATTTGGCTAATGTTTAAATTGCACCAGAACTGTTCCTTTTCTAGCATTATCAAGTATTGCTCAAAAAAACTTTATGTTCAAGTTCAGATCAGTAGAGGTGTTTTAGTGTCCAAGCCTTTGAGTGAAATCAAATCATAACTAATTTGCAGTAATATCACTTCACTTTCTGAAGTACTCAATTAATTCCGGTCGTGATAAGTGGAAAATTTGCCTTTCTTCAATCCAAAGATTATTATGGATAAACCAACACTGCATTTAGCAAAAGTCATCCTTGTGTTCAGACTGATCTAAAGACCAAAGAAGCTTTTTGAATTGTTCGCACTTGTTTTGCTTTATTTTGTAACCATATAATGTTATTAAAAAATCACCTTTTATATGTAAATGCTAGTATTTCCAGCCGGTGCGGAACTTGGTAATCCGTGCGGAAAAGTATCAATAGATGTGCTTGCTTCACTCACTGGTCAGCAGCGAGAAGCCAGCACCGTTAGTGCTCAGCATGCTCTTCGTCTTATCGCGTTCAATCAGTTATAGAAGGTAGAAGAATTGTTGTTTTTAGGTACATCCCTATCACAAATAGTAATTTTGAGTCAGTCCTAAGCTATACTTTTATACGTTTCGTCCTTCTGACCTTATCAGTAGCACGATGTCGTTCGGTTTAGCCAATCAGTAGAAGGATATACCCTTGCATATAAGGGAATCGACGCCGAACTTGTTACACTGCACCTGGGTGAAAAGATCACGTTACGAGGAAGACAGGCAACAAAGTTCCACATGACTGATGTTTTTTATTAACCCGCCAAGGGAACCGAATCGTGGCCTAGCGGTGAGATTTTTCAGCTGGTGATATGTCGATTTTTCCGAATTTCGGGCATAAATTTATTCTTGAATGGTTTAATGAGTGGATATTCGAACTTCAATCTCAAATTGGATGAGAAAGCCAGTGAGGAGTGGATCATTCCTACTGTACATCGATGCTCGTGGTAGTAATTTTGGGTTTAGAATCCGTAATACTTATAATACACGAAACTGTTGTGCATTTGTTTGTAGACGGTGCTAGCCTTGTCGCTGCTGCTGATCGGTGAAAGTCGTGCCGTGTCTTTTGAGAAGAACATCGCTTTGGTAGTATGCCTTTTGGGATTGGTAGGAATTATTAATACTCGATATTGAAAGTATTTTTAGTGCATTTCGCACTGTTATGATGTTTTGAATATTGCTAAGAGAATTGAGTGGTGAGCAAAAACACGACCTCAGGCGGGAATCGAACCCACGTGTCATCCTATCCGGGGACGCGTGCTCTACCACTACACGTGGTAACTAACTCGTGTAGTGGTAGAGCACGCGTCCCCGGATAGGATGAAACGTGGGTTCGATTCCCGCCTGAGGTCGTGTTTTTTTTCTCACCACTCAGTTCTCTTAGGAATATTGGTAGGAATGTTGGCGATTCTAGCGATCATGCCTTTGACTTACATTTTCTCTTCAGTTCGACTCTCTGGTTAGGATTTTGAATATTTTTTTTGCTCTTCATAAATAAACCGCTAAAATAGATTTCATAGAGTCTCTGTTTTATAGCTAATTGTACAATAGAATATTTTAGCGTGTTTAGAAAACCTCTAAATCCACAGGTGAGGAACTTACTTGAAAAAAAGCGTATTAGATTTTCAAGTTTCCACTGAGAGAGTTTGATTCTCGTCGAACGATTTTCACTTATATGAGAACAGAGAATTATAAGTAATACTCAGGCTTTGCAATGTTTTTACTGCTTTTTCGCCACGATCTTTTGAATACACCTAAGAGAAGTATGTGCTGAGCAAAAATACGGCCTCTTACGGTATATTTCAAACATCGTAACACTGCGAAAAAGCATTAAAAACATTAGCCTGAGTATTGCTTATCTCAATGGCTGTCAGCTCAACTGGGTCTTTGAAGCGAAATCGCATACCCAACCAAACCTGCTAAAGATTGGTGGCTGATAGCTATCATAGAGATACTGAAGAATGAGTGGTGGCGCAAATGTGTCTTATGGTGTAGTAGTAGCACGCGCCCCAGGTATGGTTGAAGCGAGGGTTCGACTCCCTAATCAGGCCGTATCTTTTTGCTCACCATTCAACTTTCTTAGAATTATAAGTATTGAGCAGATCCTTTTCGAAATAAATATATGCGAAAGTATTTACAAACAATTTTGTATGTAAGAGCATACATAGTCCATACTATCAAAAATGAATAAATCTATAGTGCATCAGAAAATAACTTCTACAATTGATCATTCATTGCTACAATTCGGCTCAAATTAGGCAAATGCTCTTTGAAATGGTTTAAGAAAAATCAAGCGGATTCAAGTCCAGATACCACTACTTCTTTGGGTTTTGGTTTGATGAGCAAAGCACAAAGCTAATATAACAGCGTTTTACTTCAACACCTGACTTGGTGGGATTTCGTCTCTCCTACAGCTTGGAAGTGTCAAATTGACTGCCGCTTCCTACCAACCAAGTTCCACACTAATTCCAATAAGAATGTCACGTGATCTATATTTCATCTACACTTGTAACAAAATAACTCTGCATACACTCACGAGTCTTTGAGTATTCTACTGAATGTTCCACGCTGAGACTACAAAGCTTACATGGATTGCCAGTGCACTCCTTCCCTTTAAAATACCAATCTGAGTTGTGCGAGATCACGCGTGACAGTGAGACATCTCTCCTTGCGAGTGGTTTTTTGAAAAATTTCTATTGAAAGGTCTCGATTACAAAATACGGGAAATTTCTACCCAATTTCTATGCGAAGAAAAGTTTTACCATATTATTAGGCTGACGAAAAAGTTCTTAAACTGAATACTTAGAGTTTATAATAAATAAAGTCAATTTAAAACAATAGTTATTAATCTTTAGAATGAAGACAACAATCTGCAAGTTTCCGGATCTGTTCCAAATCGCCATTCCTTGGGCCCGGACTCCAAACTCCTGGCATGCCTCTCCAACTCCATCAAATTTCTCGAATTGGCGTTCACGCAGGAAATGCTCTATTGAACGGAAAAGGCCTTAACCGGACAGTTCAGCTTCCAAGGGTGCGGCAAGACACCTTCCAATTCATCAAACTTTGCTTAGTTTCGGCGGTACAAGGTGAGCGCGTTGTCTTGCTGAATGAGCGCAGACTTTCGATGAATCACTGTCGGGACTCTTCCTTCAACGCTTCGTAGACTGGGTCCATCTGTTCGCAGTGGAGCTCGGGATTGGTGGCGCGACCATTCGGAACAAGTTCGAAATGCATGACACCTTCAACATTCCACCAAACTCAGTTCTTCGGGGCTAAGGAACTTTTTTCTCAGCTTACTTGATGACTCCGTAAAACAGTACTTGGCAAAAAACCTTCAAATTCTTCCGCGATGCTGGAAATTAAGCTGAATGTATGGCTCAGATCTCAGGAACGATTAATGTCGAGTGCTCTGTTGCCTTTTTACATCGCAATTAGTGAACCGCACGTTTTTGATGCATGATAAGCGATGATTAGGTTCCAAATACTGGTTTGCTTACCATGCACACGCGCTTCAGCTGTAATTTTGTAAAAACATTGGTAACAAATCTTGTTCTTACAAAAGACTACTTCAAAAAAAGACTAATTTTATTGATTTCTGATTGACTGCAATTTTGTCAGTAAAGCAGAGCATTGAAGAAAATTTTCTAGGAAACAATATATCGGACGATTATGGTAATGGGACTATTGATGGCTGCTATACTTTTATTGATATTTTGTTCAAAACATTGGGAGCAGCTAAACCTACTTTGGCAGGCATTGCCATCTCTCGCCAGTGTTAGCTTTTTGGCTCAACTTCAAAGTTTTGAACATATTGAGATGTTTGCTGGATTAATTTTCTCACCATTAACTTTGTCTCTTCTGCTTCTTTCGTCACTCTTGGTCAGTATTGGGCTCCTCATAAGGTTTTTTTCAAAACACATGCTCTTATGAAATGATCCTGTAAATTAAACGATTCTGTCTCATCCATCATGCAAGTAGGAACAACCTTAACTCAAATGAAATTCTTTTTATTTATCCGCCTCTAGCGGTGGTATGAATTTTCAAATATAACCTTTGATGTAGAGTGATGTGCAAAACTCTCGCATCAGGCGGGACTCAAACCCACACCTCACTCTATCCGGGAGCGCTTGCTCTGACCGGTTGCACTACTGACGCTCATTATGCACACCACTCTTTCCGCGCTACAGCGCAAAAGGGCGCCGGTAGTGCAATGGATTAGAGCAAGCGCTCCCGGATAGAGTGAGATGTGTGTTCGAGTCCCGCTGACGCGTAAGTTTTGCACATCACTTTACATCAAAGGATATATTTAAAAACCTTAACTCGACGTAAAAGACACGATAAAATGATGCGGTGTTGATAACGATCTACTGTCCACAGTTATCACTTCCTGTGGCGAAAAATCGTCCTTTCTATGTTTCAAGAAACTCTTTTCATTTGCTTATTCAATCGATCTCTATCTGCTGCTCATTAATTGAAAACGATATTCTTGGCATCCGCGACCACAGTTCTCTGCCGAAACCGCTATTCCTTAATGACGACGTCACTCTCATCTGATCCTCGCAGAACGGCGAACGAACTGAATTGAGGGTGATCCTAAATACGTTGAAAAAATTCCAGTGTCCTTTGTTTGGATATGAAAGATAACAGGAATCTCTCGTCATCCAATGTATTCAAGTTTTTCATTTACGCGCTCTTTATTAAACCATCTGAACATGTTTCACTACTTTTTTGAGTAGGAAACGAAATCATATTTCTTGTAGCACTTTTTAATTCTTGAGTGCTTTCAACCCATCTGATTTTCCGCATATCAGACCTTTTTCAGTGCCATGTAAATTTGTGACGCAATGGAAACAAAGATTTCGCTGCTGAACAAAATTCCTCACCATATTTTCCTTACTTTACTTTTTTGACAGTACACATACGTGCACAGAATAATTAGCGAAGTAAGGACGTGACTCAGTTTAGTGATATACACGTACTAATTTCCAAAGACAAGTAATTGTGAGAATGTTGCATTTTACTGCTTTGAATGAGGTTATCTCACTTCAATTTCGAGTTTCCTTTGACAAATTCAGGGAGGAGCGTTTTTTATGCGATCGGGGTGCGGTATCTAATGCTCTCGTTTCAGTGCGTATTTTCGGTGAGGTCCAAGAAAAGCCATGGCGAGCTAGTATTTTGGAACGGCCGTTTTGATATATAGTTTTTGAAAAAGAAAGGAGAAATTAATTGCTAGGAAGAGGGAGGTTTCAAATAGCGAAATTCAAAAAAAACTGTCCACCTGTAAAGGTACACAATAGCGTCCATGCTGGCCGGAAAAAATTGGCAACTGGGTTCATATAAAAGGAGGGAAAATGAAAGCAAAGAGAGCTCGTCACGCATATCAGAAAAGACTAAAGATGAATACAACGAGCGTTCTATAGAACTTCAACGGAGAACTCCTGCAGACTCATTAATTGTTCACGTAAAATAATATCCTAAGTTCCCATAAACTTAAAATGACGATGTTGCCCAAACACATAGTCTTTGCTTCACATGATACCATTTAGACGGTTCGCAGATGAGCGGAACAATACCAACAGAGTTTTCCGGGCATTTTATCAATGGATTCTAAACTTTATTGCCTTGTGTAGTTATTTCCTCGGCATATTTCCGAAATGAAAATGAAACAAATAGTGATCAGACGCTAAAGAAATCCAGAGTCATCAAAAACATATACACAATTGAAAACTGGAAAAGAGCACAACCAGACTGTCGCTTTTGAATATATCCGAATACAGATTACAGGAGATAAAGCGATAGAGATGAAAACATACAAATGATTCGAAAGATAGAGTCACGGTGTTGTTCATTTACCGGAGAAGAAAGTTGGCGAGAAGTCGTCATACCGCATTGTTGTTTCGTGAATTTTGTAAGTCTCTTATTGAGATTCAAATCAATTTATAGTATCAGTTAGATTCGGTATCAGGTTTCGACAAAACGCTAACATTAGCATTTTAATGCCTGTTCACGGTCTTTATACCATGCAAGGATTCCCACTAAACAGCTGTTACTTTTGAACTGGGATTTATTCAGATTTCAAAGGTCTTGATGTGGTAATTGCCACTAAATTGTAACTGCTCCATTATCTGCTTTTCCTGTAGCGCTGTTAGCAATCAAGTAAATCAAGAAAATATACTTGAAATTGATAGTATTTTTGATGCATTTCGCACTGTTATGATGTCTTCTATATTCCTAACAGAATTTAGTGGTAAGCAAAAACACTACCTCAGGCGGGAATCGAACCCACCTTTCATCCTATCCGGGGACGCACTCATTTTTGCTCACCACTCAATTTTGTTAGGAGTCAAGAAAATATCTTATTTTTTCCGTGTGATAAAGTTCACTGTAAGTCCTCATCGCTCACTCAGCAAGGACCACCACACTTTTCGTTCCATGCTTTTTCCACTGTGACAACGAGGCGACCGTTGGTAGCTACTTGTGCATAGCTTCAGTCTTTCTTGAAATTTCAGGGAAAAACACGAGATATCTAAGCCTCGGCAGTTACACTAAAGTGGTAACATGACCGTTGTAAACTCAGTAAACCATTTTGATTGGTAGGGTGAAATCACTATTCCATAATGCCGCGATTATGCCTTGATACTCGCCTAAATAGGTGCAATCATGTCCACTGTGAGTCAACTCAGCAGCTATTCATAAATTCATCCAACCCCACGGAACGGCACCACTAGCACCTTTTGGTGCCCGCTTACTATAATCAGTTATAAGGATTTAGGCAGCTCTGAAGCAGAAAAGGATGAAGTGTAGAGCTTGAAATGATAACCCATCGAATCAGTCGATGAGTAATGAGACTGCAAATATTGCAGCTGATTAGTGCCGCCCTGAGTTCATCAAAAGTTTCGTCCCTCCAGGTCGGGAACTTGGTAGTTGATTCGTTTTATGGTAGTTTATTCTTTGAATTTTGATAGAAAGCGCTCCAGCAGGGCTATCTAGGGACCACTGACAGCGAATCACTAGATCTCAACGGCGTTCAATATAGAGACACCAATCTCCAAGCGCTAATTTGCGAATGAGAAAACCTTCACAGAGCATTCCTGTTATAAAATCTGGATCAAATAAACTATCGATGAGCTATAAGAAGTGTAGTAATTATACCCTGAAGAATTAATAAATGCTCAGAATACAAATTTGTCGCAACAGCCATATATTATATACCATGTCCAGTCGTACATGTATGATGTCGGCCCATGATGTTTTCCACGTGTTTAACAAAATTCAGTAAACAAAAACAGCTCATTGTGTAGGCTAATAATAGTCTAACGATGCCCATAAGAGTATGTAGACTGCATCGAACCATTCGTCCCGTAGATGAGGAAAAAATGTCACGCATTTGACCATGTTCTTCTCAACTGGGTCTCAGTAATCATCGCGGATAACATGTCTTAATCAAAGTTTGGCTTAGCATCAATTGTAAACATTGCTATTCTCAGAAACGCCCGTTCCTCTTCAGAATATCAATCACCGTAATCGATGCCGCGAAGAAATCTTTCGTCACAACCACGACTCCCAGCTCAGTACGTATGATGACGAATTCTCGCTGTATATGTGAATCTTAGCAATAACACAATATTCCAGGGTCCAATCAGATACAAACACCGCTCTCATCCCTATAGTTCCTAATGCTGCAGTAAGTATTCATTGTGAGATATTTCGAAAACACGAGAATATTACAAAAGATGTAAAGACCGAAACACGTGTATCGCGCTGCACAAGAGCCTATGACAGACTACATGACGTTTTGGCTCAAATAATAATTATGAGATATACCCAGTGCTATAGAGATGTGCAAAACTTTAGCGTGAAAAGAGCGATGTGTAAAATGGGCGTCAGTAGTGTAATGGATAGAGCACGCATTCCCGGAAAGAGTGAGGTGCGGGTTCTAGTCCCGCCTGGCGCTAAAGTTTTGCACATCACTCTATAACACTGGTTATATATTCATAACATCATGCCAGCGCAAAAAAGCGGTTAAATAAAAAACAATTTCAACAAGATATTTTGTTCTTCTTACAACTTCACGGTTTTTTTTTATTTGCTACTCAAGCGAAGGATGAAAAGATAAGTCAACGAGAAAAGTGAGGGTTCGAAATCGCTAACAAAAAGAGATTTGATTTGATATTATTCAAATGCATGTAGTAGTCAACAGCGGCTTAAGTACTGAGCAAAGCCTGAAATTTTTGACAATTAAACTACTTGAGTTAGTGGAGACTGAAAGGCTTGTAGATGAAAAGTGCCGTTTCACTTTGACACCTGACGTAGCTTACGGGCACTGCACTAACTTGCACAATCTAGGAGATCTGAGTGCGACAGTCAACTGGCGGCTTTTCTAGTTTGCAAAAATTTTCCCCTTTCCTTTCTTGGAGCTGAACAATACAATGACTGTCTCAAAAGGACCCGGCATTCTTCACTTTTTCTGAAGTCTTAGTGAAACTATACACTGAAGCTAGTCCACGTATGTACCACGCTCCAGTCTCACGTTCCTTTGAGGCGGCTACTAGATGCTAGAGAAGCAAATTCACATTTTCTCACAATTTGTACTTGTAAAGCTAACTAATGTTGTAACGTTAACAGCAACGATGTATTCACATACCCCTTGTATCTTGCTGAAAGAAATCCTATTTTACACAATTGCGTTCAATGAAATAAAACACTAAATCGGCAGTGTTTGACACTCGATTGCTTTTAGCTGGTGTTTTTTCAATATTAGACCGCTTGTATTGAGTGTTTTCTTGAGACCACGCTCAAAATCACTGATCTCTAAGACCACACTCAAAATCATATGATCATATACATATATCTCATGATATTTTTTGAGCCAATTTTTCATGTGCTGTCGGCTATATGTTTTCAATAGTGACTCTTTCAGCAGAATGCAGAATCACAGTTCGTTCCACAGGACTACAAGGTAAGCTTAAAAAGGTGTTTCGTGCCTCGAACTTGCACACTGCATCAACCTAGTAATTACATCCATTATCTGAACTCATTTCAAACACCTAACAGTGATTTCTCAGTATGTTTTACCACCACCTACAATGCGTGTGTCTCAATGACTAAAGGTGCCTTGCAGCACTTGTGGGGTTGTTTGCTCAGTACAGAACCCC